GGGAGCTCCAGCCGTACGAGGGAGGGAGAGGACTAGCCTAGCGTAGACTAGTGGCCCTCCTGTGAGTGGTGCGCAGAGCTGTCTAACGGCAGCCAATCAGAACCGTCAGATAACTCGAAGTGTATGTTGCCTTGCTCCTGCACGTGTTTGTGGGAGGGTTTTTAGGGTAAACTCTGCGTCCAGCTTTGGTTTTGCAGCCATTTTGTGGTACAAGTGGAGGCGAAGATCATTCAGGTTGGCATATTTGCCACTGAACAGGGCTAAAATCACCCTTTCATTCGCTTTCATTAATTACTACAAGTTTCTCCATATCAACTGTATCAAAAGCCTCACACTTCTTTTTGGAGTCTTTTGTTGGTGTCAAGAAGTTTCAGGATTGACTGCTTTCTCTTGCCAAGTATTGCTGACATTGTGTCCGAGCCGGTCAGGGCATGAGCAAACAGAAGTGCATCCTTTAGCGCACCGAGTTTTTCCTGCAGTTAAGCGATGTTGTATACTTTGTTAGGCCTTCCAGATGTCCCAGGTGCCAGTATCCACAAGTCCATGCCAGGCAACCTTCTCTACACTGCCATGGCTAGATCAGCATCGTTTCCGGCAATAACAGCTCGGCAGCCTTCAAGAGCGAGCAGCAGGGCTGTTTTCCCCGTGAGCGGGTCAGCGTCACCAGGATGCTGCAGGACTTGCAAACCCGCATTGCGCATGACAGGTGTGAGCATTAGAGCTGTGCGAATTGTTCGATATCGAATCGAATCGAATCGGCCAAATTCGAATTCGTTCGATTTCGAATTTGCCTGATTCGGTGTCGAATAATTCGAAATTTCGAATCGGGTTGGTTCGACATCGAATCGCATTGGGGTCCAGTGTGCAGCACCCGCATTATGACCGCAGCTCACACCTCACTTTGTACTGTCGTCGTACATCTACGCAACAAGGCCAAATTAAAAATACCGCGTAACGCGTGTATGAAAAATGTATGTTTGCGCTATTCTTTTGTTTTCGTCGCGACCGCCCTGCCGCCCTCCTCTTCCCTTCCCCTCTTCTTCACTCACACACACTCCGTCCGGCGTCCGGCGCCTCGCTCTGTTTATGTTCAAGCCATTGAAACTAAAGGTATGTATTTTAAACAAAATACAGTCATACTGTTCTTAGCGAAAAACATTCTTTATTTTATTCTCAATCAGTGATACTCAAAATAACAGAATGATATTTATTACTTACAAAATAGGATAGAAACAAAGTATACACAGTATAGGTTAGGTTTTTGTTTGCAGTTTGATCTTACCAATGTATTATTTCTGAATTGCAGATTTCACATGAATGAAGAATATGCGGTGGACGATCCAGGTATTCCTGTAACCGAACCTGCTGACAACACAAGTAATGACAATGCCAACGTTCGTGTTACCAGAAGTGGGAAAAAGACATTGCTAGACCACTTTCCAAAAACGTCTGAAAACAATGCCAGTGCAAGTGAAAATTCTGAAGAAACAAGTGCCAACGGTAGTGCACAGAAAGAAGACAGTAATAGTTGCGAACTGCAGAAAGAACTAGAAAGTCTGTCAGAGGAGGAAAAGAAAATAGTTCATTCATCAGGTTCCCTTGTGTGGCTTTATTTTTTTAAGTCGACAACTAATAAAGAAGAAGCTATCTGCAAGCTGTGTAAATCAGTAAGAAAAACTGGAGCTAGTGGTTCTACCAAAACACTTTCCAACCACTTAGAAAATTCTCATGTAAAAGAATTCCATAAATTTACTAAACTGAGCACAATTAAGAAGAAATTACTGCAACTAACCAAGTCAAAGGTGGACCCACTCACTGAATCTAAGAGCCAGCCTACTTTATTAGATTTGAAGGGATCATTTGGCTCCCTTCCTGCAAAATCTCTACGGGCAAAAGATATTACCAAAGCTATTGCCATTTTTTTGTGTAAAGGGCTTCATGCATATGATACTGTTACGGAGGAAGGTTTTAAATATTTAATTTGGAAATTAGAACCAAAGTATAATATTCCACACCGGACAACATTTTCTAGGAGTATTATACCAAAACTCTATGAAGAGGTTAGGTCTGCCCAAATGCAGTACTTGAAAAAAGTTGTCAACACACTGGAGTCAATCACAATCACCACTGACTTGTGGTCCTCAAGGGCAAAGGATCCATTCATATCTTGTACAGTTCAATTTTTTGAAAGTTCAGAAGATTGTTTTGAATTGGTACATTTATTAATTGACTGCAGACCTTTTCCCCATCCACACTCAGCAGAGAGAATTTGTGAAGCTGCATATGAAATGTTGGAAGACATTAGTGTTGATGCTGAAAAAGTAAAAGTGTACTTTGTTACAGACAATGACTCCAAAATGCTTTTAGCCTTACAGCAGCCCAGTGCTGCAAAATCAGCTGATCCATCACAGCCAGATATTCTTCGGAGCCAAAGGCCATGGAAGCATATCCCTTGCTTCGACCACACCTTGCAGCTGGCCATTTCTGATACGAGGAAGGATATTGGAGCAAACACTGTGATAGAAAAAGTAAGTGCCATAGTTAGCAGATACAGCTACAGCACTCTTGCAAAACAGAATCTTCAGAAGTTCCAGAAAGAAACAAACACAGTGGAACATCAAATGGTGAAAAATGTTGCAACCAGGTGGAACTCTGAATATTTAATGCTGTCCAGATTTCTAGAGCAGAGGGCAGCAATAACCCTCGAACTGAGTGATTCAGGAGAAGACGGACTCACATCACAGCAGTGGAAACTAATTGAAGGGTATGTGCAAGTTTTGAAACATATTGCTGAGTACACTGCTGATCTTGGCAGTACAAAGCAACCTACATTATCAATGGTAAATTCAGTGCTTTTTGAAATTAAAAATACATTAGATGAATTTTTAAGAAAGCCATCAAATAAGGGAAGTGGGATTCAATTTGCAAGAGCCCTGTTTAACAATGTGAAGTTACGTTTCCCTGATTGCAAATATAAGGACAATGACCAGTACGTACTTGCAACATTATTGGATCCTCGATTCAAGGCCTTACTGATGGATGAAGAGGAAGCCCAAGATAAATTGGTTCGAGCAGCCCTAAAAAAGAAAATGGAGAAAGGGGGTGAGTTTGTCTCTCCATTGTCAAGTCCAGACAAAACAACTGATGGCGAATCAGCTCCCAAGAAATCTAAATGGAGTAATTTGGGGAAACTTACCAAATCAAAGGCTGAACAGCATTCCGATAACTCTGATCTTCTAAGTAAAGAGGTA